TGCCTTGTATTTGAGAGGATAGAGTATATAGGTATAAGACTCCCTGAATAAAATAGCGGATTTATTGTTATCATCAAACTCCATTTATAAAGCTGCTTTTGTTGAGGAAGCGCTTAGCAGAAATTAACATTTTGCCTAGCATAAACTTTGGAATAGCAAATGAAATACTGCTGTTTCCCTCAAAGAGCTGTTTATTTCTTCTTCTCCATAAGGGAAGTGAGTACCAAACTCTATGGGAAACTTATCTCTCTGCAAATGAGGTTTGTAGCTGTACAGAAATATAGCATAGTTCACCGAGGCCAAAAGCCAACTGAGGTGACCGAAGCCAGAAGAGGTGTCCCTGGGCGGTCCCTGCGGCACTATGAGGGAGGATGTTCTTCTGCAGGATGGTTTCCTCCTGGGGCTGGAAGTCAGTTGGCGTGTGGCTCACGCCATGAAGCCTAGAGCGTAAATGGGTAGTTTGTATTGCTTTCATCCTGTCTTGTGTTGCTGCCGAGGCTGTTATTATTCACCATTTACCTTCTCAAAATATTGAGCCAATTAGAAAAGCAAATCTCTCTTTTGGTGAATGCCCAAGGGTGAAGCTATAACGATGTGTGTTCTCCGCAAGCCCTAATCGCGGGTCTTGCAGTTGCGCTTGGCACTGCTGGGCTAAGCAAAACCAAATTCCTTTCTGATATATTTGACAGCTCCGCCAAGCCACACTGAGTGGCTGCTTTTGTCCAGCTTCACAAACCGGGCAGCCGAGGCTGGTCAGCACTGGGATGGGAAAAGCAGAAACGGGGGAGGAAGGGGTGGTGCTTGGAGATCATCACCGTGAGTGGATAGCAAATGAAGGTCCTGGCTTTTGGATAAAGCTCTGTTGCTTGCAAACTGCATTGATTGAAATGGTGGCTGTAATTCCAAGGGTGTGATACAGACAGATGTTTCTGGGCTCTTTTTCCTTGTTAGTTGTCAGGTGAGTCAAGGGTTTATTAAGAATAACTGAGACAGGACCACGGTGCCATGAGTTAGATTAGATATTAATCTAAGGTCCTTTTGTTGAAATCCTACATTTATATTGTTGTGTCTTCCATGGTGAATTAAGTGGCATACTCAAAAGTTTGCATGAACAAGGGAATATATATTGGGTAAGAGATTTGGAGTGCATTTAGATTTTAGTATTACAAGTCCAAGATGCTGCTTTACTTTGATTTTCATGCCAGCATTTTCCACCCCCTGCATAATGAGAGCACATTGCTAACTTTAGTGAAGCCCTTTATTAAACTCATCTGATGGCTCAGACTGCCTGCAATTAGTATTGTTTCATACATGATAAGTGGTCCTGCTAAGCCTTCTAAAATGAGTATAACAATCTAACTGGTGCCCAATGGGATATCCATCTTGTGTCTGACTAGAAGGAATAAATTATGCTCTTAGACTGATAATTACTGGTGCCTGGATTTCAGGATTACAGTCCTGTGATGCTGATGATTAGAACTGGTATCTGTGCACAGCTGTTCCCTGTGATCCACTTCAGTGTCTGCCTCAGCTTTCCCAAATGGATTGCTCTTTGCCAAGGAAGGTAGAAGCAGTATCCATTGCAGGCAGCTAGGATCTGATTTAAATTCTATACAAGGGGGAGTCTGGAGAACATATCTTTGCCTTACAGGTGGTTTAAAAAAGTATTCTTGGGTGGTTTTGATGGTTCTGAATATTGGGTGGGTCTTAGGAAAAGAGTATTCAGAAAGAAAGAGAATCATAGAATCACAGAATAGTTAGGTTTGGAAAGGACCTTAAGATCATCCAGTTCCAACCCCCCTGCCATGGGCAGGGACACCTCGCACTAAACCATATCACCCAAGGCCTCGTCCAACCTGGCCTTGAACACTGCCAGGGATGGAGCATTCACAACTTCCCTTGGCAACCCATTCCAGTGCCTCACCACCCTCACAGTGAAGAACTTCCTCCTTATATACAATCTAAACTTCCCTTATTTAAGTTTTAACCCATTACCCCTTGTCCTATCACTACAGTCCCTAGTGAAGAGTCCCTCTCCAGCATCCTTGTAGGCCCCCTTCAGATACTGGAAGGTTGCTATGAGGTCTCCATGCAGCCTTCTCTTTTCCAGGCTGAACAGCCCCAACTGAATAGATTCAGAAAAAATCAGAAGTATAAAGAAAACTGTGAAAATTCATCTAAAATGAAGAAAAAGAGAGTGTATTCTGAACTGAAGAAAGAGTTAACTGTTGGGGTTTTTTTTTTCTCCCTTTAAAATAATTTCCCTGTGCTCCTTAACAAGAGTGGTGACAAAGCAACGTAAGAAGTTATGCTCTACGCTTTGCTGCCTATTTTCTCACCCTCGGTTTAAAAATACCAGCTCTGTAGCACCTTCTGTTTTCTCATGACGTCTATGCACACTTCATGAATAATCTGTAGGGGGAACGCTGCGCTTGCTCTCCGATTGGGATTTTCCCATCGTACCCAGTGTTGACTTAACCCTGCTTCCACAAAAGTCAAGAGTAGAACGCCCATTGATTTCAGCGTGAGCAGATTTTGACTTTTCAGAAATGCTCAGCCATATGTGCTCTCGTTTTGGAAGTATCATGTGGTTGCATTTGGCCCATGTCGTGTTTTAGTCACTCAAAGAACACGAGGAGTTCCAGCCTGTCCTCACCTGCCCTCGATTGCGAGAGCTGAGGGCCTTAGGGAGGTTTTGGTGGCCAAAAGTTTTGCTGTTGTCCTGTTTTGGGGTTTTGGTTGTTTGTTTTAATTCCCAAATTTCAGGAAAGTGTATTTGTATTCTAGGACAAAGGGAATGCAAACAGTTCGAATTTGCTGTGAAAAAATAGATCTGAGGGGAAAACGTTTGAACTCAGCCTGTGTGTTTGGTTTGGTAATAAATGATACCAAAATTTGTTTATATCCAGTATTTAATGCAGCATTTTACAAGGGGCAGAAGTCGTTTGCAGTCAAAAGTGAAAACACTTTAACCTCATTCAAAGCCTTTTTAGTTTTCTTTTCAAAATGAAATGTTATCAAGATTGACACGTTTACTTAAGGCTGATTGGTATTTTCTGAGGGAAAATGTTCCACTGACAATTTTCATTTGAATTTAGGGTTTCTTAGTCTTTAATGTATGTACACCCATCAATATCAAAGGGAGGTTTAGGAATTACTCTCTGTTCATGTTATGTGCTAGGAGATGATTGAGGTCAAGATGAAGGGCTCTGACTTGAGATCATAAATAGCTTTAGCTAGGATGTTTACCTGCAGTCACACTTCATAGCCTGGTGTGATACTGTGAGTTTCAGCAGCTGTGAGTTAGGAGCACAGCCCATTAAATCTTATGCTCCCAAGAGTAATAGCCCCTTGGCAGAGGCGCTGGGTGAACAGATACATATCTGCTTCAGCCATCTCACCTGAGTCTGTCTGTGATCATGAGCCAGAGCCTAGTTTCAGAAGGTATTTACATAGCCTAAGTCTTTGCCTAAAACCATATGAGAAATCTGTGCTAGAAGAAGGACTTAAAACTAATCTTCCCTGGGTCTGAGGTCAATGTCCTTTCTTCTGGATTATCTTTCTTAGGAGCATCCCTATCCTCAACATCTGTTAAGTCATCTGTAAGGTAAGCTGAGCATGCTAGGGAAAGCTCTGGCGAGGGGTACAACTGAATTAAGGAGACAAATGCAGTTAATCTCTGCTTTCTCCCACATTCCTTGTGCTATGTCCTGCTGTCACTGTGTTCTCCACTATAGTCAATGAGGGATTTGTATCGGACATGCTGCAGCCTTTAAGCATATCTCCCGATGTAGATCTGCAGTTAAAGAATGTAATGTAACTGCACATGCCATGAAGGTTTTCCATGACTTTGTGAAAAGAGTTGCTGTCCATGTCACATGCTTGTCCTGGTTTAAACACGCTGGTTTGAGCAATGTGAATTGGAAGGGGAGTCAGCTTGTGACTTTGGAAATGTGCAAACTGTCCAAAGGAAACTTGTCGCAGATGTTTTTATGGTATTTTAGCTGAAGTTCCACGAAAAGCGCAAAAAATAACACTCCTTTTGCCTAAAAACAAAGTCCCAAACCAAACAAACCCATAATACAGAAATGCTTGCCAAGAGTCATAAAAGTCTTAAACTGTGATTTAATATCCTGTCTCCCTTTTGTCTTAGTGGAAAAGGTCATATAGATGAAAGACATCTGCTGGTGTATCTCTTGGATTTCAGGACAAGACTAAAGTTCTATTCCTGGCCTTTTTGGTGTGAGCAAATTGCCATGAATTCCTACTATTCGGTTGTCTTGATGTGTCAGCTCTTGAAGAGGATGAACTAGCCTGTGGCCAGTGATTCCAAATGCCAGGCTGCATCCCTTGTATTTTATTCTTCGGAGGTGGATACATGCCTCTGTCAGCACTGGATGAAAGACATCCAAATATGACTGGGTTCACCGGAGTGAGATGGAGGTTCTGGCCAAAGCCAAGCCCTGGTGGCAGCTTGTGGTGAAATTTGGCCTTGATGAAGTCAACCGATAAAGAAGTTATTCTGTAGACCATAAAGAAGGACATCATTCTCGTGAACCAAGTATAGACGTGGCAGGAGGGTTGAGTACTGGCACACAGTTGTCCACACTGTTTATTGTTAGGACGTTTTTTGGCACAGTTTTGGCTTACACCATGTCCATATAGAGCTTAAGCACAACTTGGTGCAGGGATTGTTTGATGCAAGCCAGTTACTGTGTCCAGAACCTCCATATTTGTGTATTACGGTCAGAAAGACGTAGAGGGGTAGCAGTTCAGTTTGCAACAGGTCAGAGACAAAAGGTGGCATCATAAGCTTGTAGATGTTGATAGTCAACAAGGGTTTTGAGGTGAAAAGCTGGAAAAGAGGAATAAGCAGTTAATGCTTGATGTGATAGAGATGGGCAGAACTGGGAAGACGAAGGCAAGAGATAGCAGGGTGAAAGTGAAGAAAAACAACCAGCCTGACTTCCCTGACTCTTCAGTGTTCTATCTTCATGTTTTCATTGACTCTATTTGAAATGTAGTCAGCTCTGGACAACAGTGCATTTATAGGCTTTGATTTTTCCTGGCAACATTGATGGTTTTTCAGTAGTACCAACCCATTTTGAAACATGGGTCTTCCTCACAAAGCAGTTGTGTTGATGAGTGGGAAAACTGTGACCCTCTGGAGCCACAGGGGATGAAATCCTAGCCCTTGTTGGAAGCAAAGGCAGCATTCCCAGGGTTCAGAATGTCACTGGGAGTGTTTTTGGCCTCTCTACTGTGAGCTGGAAACCCTCTGGGGATGGGATCTGTATTCGTGCATTGCCTTGTACAAAGAATGCCTGAATTTGTTGGCCTCCGGGCGCTGCAGAAAAGCAAATGTTAAATAAGTTGTCCTGTGAGCAGTGGAAGTGATGGAACTCTGGTGCCTTTGGGTTCTCTGGTGTCTGGTAAAGGGTGAGCATCAGCCTTTTTCTCAGCAGGTCTTTTTGCTCTCTCCAGCTGCTTGCTCTCCTCCCAGCAGTAGGAAGGTGGTGTGTAAGCGACCGACAGTCTGGAGTTGGTGAAGGGGATCCACACCATACATGCATGTGCATGGCACACAGCAGCTCCCCAGGACTTCAGTCTGTGAAGCTGAGCTGCTTAAAACCAGCAGTAAATAGGAAACCAAGAATGATTTTCCCTCTAGTGTCTAGCAGTCCTAGTTATCGTGGGTCCTCTGACAATATCAACTGGAAACTTTGCAAGAAGAACAGGTCTGGTTTTATTTTGGGGTTTTCTTCTAATTAAAGCTGTGCATTTCTACTGTCTGTGGTAGTTTCTTTTCCCAGTTGTACGTGTGGAGTGTCTCAACAGGGCTGGCAAAGTCATGCTAATTTCTAAATTCACCTTTTAGCTGGAAAAGCTTTTGCTATTTTAGTTTCCTTTGGGTGCATAAGTAGAGGGCACTGATGAAAAGCCAAGGGATGTGTTGGGTTTATTGTTGTTACCCATATACTTTCAAAGCAACTCAGCAATGCTTTACTTGATACCTGAAGCCAAGCAGCAAAGTACAAAGCAGTCTGTCATTTACTAACATGGGAAATGTGGAACAAAGATGCGCCTTCTACTGTTCTCCCTGTCTTGCTTCTCTTCTTCTGGGAGATAAGTATTTCATATATATATATATAAAAATAAATTTGGGAACATTACCTTTTTATGCATAAAATACAAATAATTTCTGTTTATTTTTGCTACCACTGTAAGCACTCTTCCACATCTCCTACATTATTCTTTCATGACAAACTTCCATACCCAGAAGCCTTAGAAACCAGTGCGTAGTACAGAAACAATCTGCACTTAGTTTTGCGCAGAGGGAACTCCTCAGTTAGGATCTTTATCTCTTCCTCTCTCAAGGAGCTCGTTTAAGAGCTTGCTGGTGTGTGTGGCATCCTGATGAACTCAGGTGGAGTTGTGGGTGCTTGACATAGCTGGACCGGAGGCTCTTGTGGGTTAAGAGCTAGTTCTGCTCTTGAGACACTAGTCTGGCTGCAGGGTGATCATTGCCTGCATTTCAAGAGGATTAAATATAGAAAAGCGCAGAAAATAATTGAATGCCTACTATGATAAGGCAGAAAGTGTAGCCTTTAGCTTGAATAAAAATTCTGTGCCTTCATGCATATGAGCTGCTGTGTTTACTGGAGACAGAGGGAGGCCATGGAGATGCTGCAAGGGCTGGAGCAGCTCTGCTCTGGAGCCAGAGTGAGGGAGCTGGGCTGTGTCAGCCTGGAGAAGAGAAGGCTCCTGAAGGGGAGACCTTAGAGCAGCTCCAGTGCCTAAAGGGGCTGCAGGAAACCTGGAGAGGGGCTTGGGACAAGGGCCTGTAGGGACAGGACAAGGGGAATGGCTTGAACCTGCCAGAGGGGAGACTGAGCTGAGCTCTTAGGCAGAAGCTCTTCCCTGTGAGGGTGCTGAGGCGCTGGCACAGGGTGCCCAGAGAAGCTGTGGCTGCCCCATCCCTGGCAGTGCTCCAGGCCAGGTTGGACACAGGGGCTTGGACCAAGCTGCTCTAGTGGAAGGTGTCCCTGCCCATGGCAGGGGGTTGGAACTGGAGGAGCTTTAAGGTCCCTTCCAACCCAAACCAGTCTGGGACTTTATGAAATCCGGTCAGAAGGCAGAAAGCACAGCCAGGACAATCCTGCTTCCACGTTCTACCCTGACCCCCCTGTTCTGGTGGAGAGGCCAAGCATGGATCCAGGCTGTGCAAGGTGCAGTGTATGTCTGCAGGCAGGAGGAGAGCCCAACGAGCCACAGGAGCAAAGGGCAGCCTGAACTGGAGGCTTCCTGCCTCATGTTGTTTCTCCCTATCTTTCCCATAAGCAGTGTTTTCAGGCGGGGTCCTGTTTTTGTTGTCAGTTTAAAATGTCATTTGGAATGTTAACTTCAGCCAGCTCAAATTATTTCCTTTTTGCCCCTTATTGAGAAGGTTTATAAATATCGAGTTACACAGGAAGCAAATTCTCTCGTTATCAGATTGTTCTGTAGTCACTTTTCTTTTCCTCAAAAGCATAATGGCAAACTTTATCAGTGCTCAGTCATTTGTTTCCTATTAAACTCTTGTGATTAAGATACTGTTTGGCTCACTGGGAAGAGTTACTGACCTGTTTTGTCTGTAAACATAGCTTTAAATTAGGAGACACCTGAAACTGGTAGGAAGTGAGTATTAATTGGGTTCAAGTTCCATAAGCACAGATTGCAGTTTCCCGGTGGGATGTGTTAAATAGCTGTCACCAAGACAATATTAATTACATTATCTCCCAGAGAGGTCCCAAGAGGTGCTAGAATAGCGTATGTGCCACTTGGGCTTAGATGCTTAGACACAAAGATCAGTGTTTGCTGCTGTGCTGCTTTGCATGGTGCAGAGCTTCTGCGTCACTGGGGGAGTTGAATGAGATAAGAAGGCTTGGGTTTTGTGAGTAATTGCTTGGGGTTTTGCTCCTGTGACTTTAAAAATGAGAATGCCATCTAAAAAAATAGCTGAATTTCTTTTTTTCTGCCCTCAAGCCCTGGAAGCAACAGTAATAACACCACAAAATGGGGATCTTTTTGAAACACCTGGACAGAAAATGTTTCTTGCCGCAGAGCTTGTCTTCCCCTGTAGGTTTGTCCAGCTCCACAGTGACCCTCAGTGCCACACAGTGTGTTGCTTGTGAGTGTATACCTCATATATCAAAATCACGCCCCGTACCACTGACTTTACACGTGGTTGTGCTCCCAGCGTTGCTGTGATGCATTGCCCTGTACTACCAGCCCTGTCACAGGTAGCATGGGCTGTACCCTGACCACTGCCCTTTCCCAAGCAGCAGCTTATGGGCTCTTGCTGCAAAAGCCCCTCTATTAATTTTGGTAGGGCATGGGCATCCCTGTAGGGATGGCTGTCTGTCCAGTTGAAGCACTTGCCTATGTGCAGGTCAGACCACTCTCATAGAATCATAGCGTCATAGGATAGTTTTGGTTGGAAGGGACCCTCAAAGCTCATCTAGTGCAGCTCCCCTGCAATGAGCAGGGACACCTTCCACTAGACCCCGTTGCTCAGAACCACATCTAGCTTGGCCTTGAATGTCTCCAGGGACGGCACATCCACTACCTTTGGGCAACCTGTGCCAATGTTTTACCATCCTCATTATATTTCTTCATCACATCCAGCCCATATCTTGCTCTCTTAGTCTAAAACCATCACCCCGTGTCCTGTTGCAACAGGCCCTGCTAAAAAGTCTCTCCCCATCTGCTCTGCTGCATGTCAGGCAAACTGGAATTGCTGAGCCAAACAACTCTCTTAGTCCTTTAGGACCATGTTAAGTTTTCAGGGGAGACTGTTTAGCCCTATAGACCCATCAGCCTTCTTCCTTTGGATATTGATGAGTGCAGAAGCAAGTAGCAAGCAAGTGTACAGCTCAATGACCACTTGTCACTAACTTCTCTATTGTTAATTGAAGCTCAGCAAGCTGGATTCGCATGGGGTGTAAGTGTACACGGCCTCAGAGCAGGAATTGACCCTGAGCTGATAATCAAACGTTTCCATCTGGGCAAGAAAAACATGAACCTGGTGGTTTGTTAAGGACATGCTGGCAGACACTTAAAGACAGCAATGCTAAGGGCACCATTATAATTAGTTCATTCAGAGACTTGAGCACATAGATTTACTTGGTCTACACGACCTCTGTGGAAATACACTGCTGAAAGAATGTGTGGACTTTAGTCACTTCATTCAATGCTACTTATCCTTACAGGCAGTGTTACACATTACCACTATGAATTGAAGGCGTCAGAGTGTTCTATAATGAGGGGAATGACTTAAGACATGAGAAGTCACTTTGTGGATCTCAAAAAGTGACTGGTAGGTTGATCCTTTGAAACTCAAAGTGCTTGTCCCTTGTTTACATAGCTTAAGTTAAACAGCAGAGGGGCTCACGTATATTCAGATGAATGGGAAAGATGTGCCCTTCAGTCTGTTTCACAACAGCTCAAAGTGAACGTAACCACCTTAAAACAAAGGGGAGCTTTCATCCTTGTTCCTACAACTGCACACAAAAAATCTGAATTGAGATGAGATTGAGCAACAAGAAGAAAGTGAGCAGACCTCATTCTTAGCTGCGGAAGAAGTCATTTCAATAGAAAAGCGTTAGCCAGCTTCACAAAATGTCACTAACAGGGTAAAAAGGGTCCCTTAGTATTTCCCGGTTTCGTTACTCCTCCTACAGTGACACTTTCAACTCAAACGTGCATTCCTGAACAGGGTTATACAGGACAATGAGAGGGGAAAATGTGGAGAAAAAATTGCTATTTAGAATACATTTTGTATTACTGTTATGTTTTGCTCTCTATCTTTCTTCAAAGCAGGAACAAACAAGCTCAGATTTTTGTGGGGCAATTCGCACTCCTCCAACTTCACTTATTTATTTTGCACTTGCTATATTCAAAGGTCTAATTTATTTGAAATATAAGCAAGCATCCTTTCTTCCCAAAGCAACCAGGATAACCCATGGCTGCTTGACTGGACCCAGAAGGTTCAGTCCTGGAGTCAGCAGCAGTATCCTACAATGACACTGTTTGACCCATGCTCCTCCGACAGGCTGGGGCTGGCAACAATCTAAGCTTCAGCCATCAAAACATTCCTTTGTGGCCAGGAGCCCTTCTGCTTTCTCTGAAGTATCTGGTGTCAGTTTTAACAAGAGGGGAAACAGACGTTCGTCACCATTAATTCCTTGGACAATTAAGCTGGTGATCTCTGACCTCCCACCATTATTGGCTTTCAGAGCCAGGGTAAAGACCCTGCAGATATCTGTTCTCTGTCATTCCCCGCGAGCTGCCCTAGCATTTTATTTACTCAAAGGCTTAGCTTTTGCCCACCACTAGCCAAATGTATATGCTCTGCAATAAAAATGGTTAATAAGCTGTCCCAGACAGCAACATTAATC